ATGGAGCTGGGCTGTCCTCAGTGGGGGCAGGTGACAGGACAAGGAGCAATGGGCTCAAGCTGCAGCAAGGGAAGTTGAGGTTGGATATTAGGAAAAACTCTCTCACTAGGAGGGAGGTGAAGCACTGAGATGGGTTACCTAGAGAGGTGGTGGACTCTCTATCTTTGGAGGTGTTTAAAACCCGGCTCAACAAAAGCCCTGGCTGGGATGATCTAGCTGGAGCTGGTCCTGCTTTGAGCAGGGACTTGGACTAGACGCAACCCTCTGAGGTCCCTTCCAGCCTGCGCTGTCTATGATCCTATGCAGCTAGCTGTTAAGCAACCATTTGTTCACAAGGAACTGGTTTATAAAGACCTTTAATTAGCTTCTCAGGACAACAAACAATAAGCAAACTGGTAACATCTACTGACCCACCAATAATTAGAATGCAATTTAGGCCAATGACCTAACAGCAAAAACACTCTACCTCCTTACAAGTCATTCATTGGCCTATGGCTAAGCCTAAAATTATTTCCAGAAGAGCATGCGCCAAGTGTTTTATTTATTCAATGTGCCAGCTGTTTGCCTCTTCTGTTTGGTACTGCAGACAGCCTCAACGCACAGAATTAGCCACAGGAAAAGGGCTGTTAAAGAGCTGAGCAGGAAGGTAAAACAATGGCACTGATAAGATAACCTCAAGTACATCTCTCCAATGCAGTCAGGATAACAACGGCTGGCCTACCCACTGGAAGGAGGAGCTAGGTAGGAGCTGGACGCAGGGTAGAGCAAGGTATTCCTTCTACAACTCGACCTGGGACCAGAAAACCTCAACAGGTCGTAGAAAAGCTGAGTCTCTAGGCCCATGCGCCTTTTGTTGCATCTACACTCGACTCTACTAAATGTTTCATAAGCTAAGGAACGAATAAATAATGCTTTATTTTGAAGATGCTGGCTTTGGGTCACTGAAACATCTTTTGTCACAGACTCCTGAAGGGAAATGTCTGCAATGTTCGAGCCTCGGTTGGACTTGCTGAAGAAGTCATGGTTGGTACCCACCGCCTGTAGCCATGTCCAAGAGTAGGACTACACAAGCCACAGCGTTTTCTCTGCATCTCCCAAGGTCTAACAGCCCCGAGGCTGCACCGAGTGAGACCTCAAAGAAGGACGCTAGCTACAGATTCACTTCAACCTTTCTTGTACGGGCTCACACTTGCTGACAGGCTAGATCTGGGTATGATGGGACAGCTAGATGCATTAAACACAGGTGGATAAAAGCTGACACAGCAGGAGCCGATTAAAAGCACTAAAACCATGAGCAGTACAAGTCTTCAGTTTCCTGCATGTGCAGGGAAGGGGAAGACTCAAAGAAAGTAAAGGATAGGGGAGAGAGCTGAATAGAAAGAGATGCTGTTCCAGCTGATGAGAAGCCCTGGAAGCAAACACGCTCGTGTCTTTTTATCTCCGGGCTTTGCTTTGGTGATCAAGAGGAGATATCCAATACTGCCAAAGGGATCGCCTCTTCCCATTCAGGACACAAATCTAAGATCTGCTTTTTTCACAAAGTTCCTTTGTTAAAAAAACGAAAGCAACCCAAATGTGCTGAGCTAGTTTTAAAATAATAATAATAATAATAATAATAATAATAATAATAATAATAATAAATAATACATAAGTCAAATCAGTAAGATGCAAAGAAAAATCACACTACCACTTCAGGCAATATTGTACTACCCTGCAGACTTGACCAGAAGGCTTTGCTTGGGGATTTCTTCTCAAGTAATTTGGCCCCATGCTGCTTTACCGAGGGAAAATAAATAAATAAATAAAAAATAAAAATCAAATAAACAAACCCTTAGGATGAAGAGCTTCAACCTCTTATTCTAGTGGCCCTCAAAAGACTGCATAGGCATTTGGAAGAATAAAGGCAAATCAGTCCTCTTGATTTTGGACCGGTTCAAGAATTTCCACCCTAGAGTGGCCCACTCACTCAAACTATGGGGAAAAAAAAAAAAATCACATCACCTGTAAAAATACAAGTCTCCAAATGCTGATCTCAGAGTCAACAGTTCCCAGATCTGAATTACGACTAATGTATGGAGCGTTACCGAATCAGATTTGCTAGGCACAACCAGAAAAAAAAAGTACTAGGCCCTGGCCCCAAATCTATTCCCAGCCCTTTAGACCTGTGGTAGCTGGTTATATCTAACTCACCTATCTACATAAAAAATCCCCAACCTACAACACACAATCACCTGGGACAAGGAAGCTTTTAAATGCTATTTTAATTAGCTGTTATAATTTGTTGCCAGCTTTAATTTGTTGTTGATTTAACTGTTAACCTGAATTAAAAACAGACAGCCAAGAGTAAAACTTTTTTTGGTGCAACGTGTCTAACTGGAGGGACGCCATCATGGGAGCGACCTCCTTTTAGCTAAAGAATAAATAAGTCGTTGTCGCGGTCATTTCTCTGCAGCCACAAGCGCCTGAACAATAACTGGAAGAGTGAAAGCCGGGTTTGTTCAACACATTTGAAAGGAAGTAGCAGATGATCATCTGTACAAACTGCCCGCAGGAAGCCGATATTCCTGTTCCTATAGGTTTTACGCTTATTATTGCTCAAAAGCACAGAGCTGTAGCGGGGGTGGGGGGGAAGAGTCAACGTTCAGGGAAAAAGGGATCAATTGCTTTGCCAGAAATAATTAAAATAGAGACCCTTGATATCAAATTTAAAAATCAATAAAACCTTATGTAATCAGGTCAGATGTAAAGCAGTTCACGCAGGAAGGAAGAATCAGATTTATAGATACAAAAGGAGATCCTGGCTGAGCGGTGGCACTAGAGAAACATCTGGGAGGCTCAGCACATGACAAATCAAGTTCAAACAGATGCACTTAGGGGAAGAAAAAAAAAGAAAGAGAGAGAAACATTCTTGCTAGGCCTGCAGCCCAGCGTTGCAAGCTCAGTAACGCAAGCCAGATCGTTATTCCACTGTTCAACGACCGCTTGGCCTCAGCAGGAGATCTGTGTTCAGGGCTACTTTTAAAGCAAGATTGCAACGAAATAAAGAAAGGCCTATCAGATGTAGGCTATGAGGAAATGGCAGCGGGACAGAGAGATCTAGCAGTGAAGGATGAATGAATGCAATCTCAGAGTGAAAAGAGAGGGGATTGAGAGGTTTGGGAGATAACTGAAGTGACATGGCCCAAGGCTGAAAGTTTTTGGCCGCTGTTCGTTGCTAAAGGTTCGAGTTTTGGTTAGAATCACAGTTCTGTTCTTGGAGCAATTGCAGCTGTGACTACAACCGATCCCGTCCACCACGTGTCCCTGGCAAGACAACTGCATCCTTTGCAGATGTTACTGCAACGCAACCTATGCAACTGCACCTTCAAACCCCTTCCACTTTGAACTCCATGCCCGATACCAATGTGCCCAAGTATTGCATGTTCTCCACAGGCTTCTGGGTGGGCTTCATTGTACCACTGTGGACCCATAAAGCCACGATGACCCCAAACCATCCCCATCCGAGATCGGTTCTCTGCGCATACAACACTGCAGTGAAAAGCCACCCAACTGAAGGCCCTCAATGCATTCACAGCTCAGCTCAACATGTGCAGATTTTCACAGTGTACAAAAAAAGAGCAGGCAAGGAAGGGTTTTAATGTTTATTTGTGTTGTATTTTGTTACTGTGTGGTCATAGATTAAAAAAAGGGGGGGGCAAAAAAGATGCTATTTTGGTTCTCAATGAGGATACAATCATGTTCGTAGAGAGACGGCAAGGGCTTCTAGAACCCACAGACGTGGTACCACAAGCAAAAGACATTTTAAAGACTCAACAAGCAGGAAGTCTCGCTCTTGGTTTAACAGGGGTGTAG